GCGGCGTTTGCCACGTGTCCCCACCCTGTTCACGGGGTACAGCACAAACCCCCTTGACCCGAGCTCTGGCCAATACCATGACGGTAGCTGTCATGAAAGAGGCCCAGAATTATCAGATAATTCAATGGCAATGTACTAATACAGTCTGTTCTCCTATCACGCTGCATCTTGTTTTCATAACGTGAATTGGACATAACGCGATGAATGTATTAGGGAACACATTTTTATAACGCGGATGCGAATTGCATATAACGCGTTTGAGTGAACGGAACTACGTCGCGTGAGTAGAGATAAGCGGTTGTACTGCTGCCTCGGCGCAGCATCACGCAAGGCATCGGGATGCTGCTGGATGCTTCTGGATGCTACCCACGTGCCTCAGTCTTTATTCGGCCTGCGTACGCATCTCACGTGTTATTGCGGACTGTGCTTTACCCTATATGATATATTATAACGCGATGTTTCCATGACTCTGTGTTCTTCGGGAACGCAACGACAGGTTGATAGAACAGACAGTCCTCCCAATATAAAATGTGTCCATTGTGATAACTCATGTGTAAACATCATGGGCTGATGCCTCAAAGAAGACCGTGGGTTGGAGTTGGACCTTCTTCAAAACAAAAGAATACGTCCCAAGGTTACGGATTACTGACCCTGAATAAAAACAGAGCCAACATCGTACTGCACAGGTCAGGTACGCTCTCTTTCTGTGTAGTGTCCATGGGGGTCCCCAGACGTATACCATACGTTCATGCATTTCGTACAGAAACATTGCACTTCCAAGGATCCTCGTGAACATCAGCGGTGTCGAACGACCGGAACACAACGCAAACACCCGCGCCACCACCCCTATCATCCTCGCACTCTCCTCCCAAATCATCGCCGGTCTACGGACTCAAGATCGCGGCGCTCTTAAGGCTTCAACATCTCCTGGCCGTCCACCAGCCTCCTCGAAGCGCGCGCAAGCCCTCACGTCAAGGCGCCACGCACGCCAGCGCCTCCCTCGCATCCCTCAACTCGCCCGTTGCCCCTGAATCGAGGCGGTTCGTGGCGCAGCGCCGCCGCTCCAGTGGCCACCGTGGCGGGTTCGCATACCAGCAATCCCGCGGGGGGAGCGGTGGTGCAGCGGTCGGCGCGCTGCAACTCCCGATGATTTTGATGACAATGTAAATGTTTAAAGCGCCCTTAAAATCTAAACGTTCGAACCCGGCCACCAACGCCAGTGAAGATTGTCCGAGCCGTTCCTGGGCCTCCCCTCGGTTCGACTCAGCCTCATACGAGTACCCGGTGCGGCGTGTATTAAACATAGCCACTGGGGAGACAAAGGCAGCCGAGCGTGTGCCGTGCCGGCCTTCATAGGTGCTACTCGCTAACAGCACTTGCCCCAATAATATGTTAAGGCTACACGGGGGATTCTCGTCTTTCGTGTACTGGTCATGTTTTAAATAATTCTATTTTATCGGTTACCGATTCCGAAAGTCCGTCCGTGAATCGGTAATCGTTTGCATGATGGAATCTGACCAGGGTGCAGGAGGTGGGGCTGTACCCACACTTTACCGCACCACACGCAACCCGCCGATCCGGCGACTTCGTGTGACATTTAATCACCCAGGCGCGCTGCCCTTGGGCGGGCTTGGAGAGAGCTGCCCCACTGTGCAGACGGAACCTCGCCTGTGGCGAGCTCCAAGGGCAGTCGGCCTCACCGCCAAAGGGACAAAGATTCCCCGTGTGACCTCGTGGGGAGCGGTGGCGCAGCGGTTAGCGCTACGCTGCGTGCTGTACTCCGAACCCTGCGTACCCGAGTTCGATTCCCGCTCACGGCCAACGCCGGTGATGATTATCTGAACCGGTCCCGGGCCTCCCATAGCCTCAAATGAGTACGTGGTGTGGTGTGTGAACATCGCCACTGGGGGAGACAAAGGCAGTCGGGCGTGGTGCTGGCCACCCGCCCCCTCGTATACCGTGCCGGCCTACAGAGGTTGCTACTCGCTAACAGCGCTTGCCCCGACAGTCTGGGCCCCACCATCAAAGACAAAGCTCCCCCGTGTAGCCTTAACAGAATGTTGGGGCAAGTGCTGTTAGCGAGTAGCAGCACCTATGAAAGCCGGCACGGCACACGAGGGGGTGGGTGGCCAACACTACCCCCGGCCGCCTTTGTCTCCCAGTGGCGATGTTTACTGCACACCGCACCAAGTACTCATTTGAGGCTGAGTCTCTAATGAGTACACACGCACCCCAGGGCAGTATAGAAGGTAGAACGGGCTTCTTTGTCTGTGTGGAAAACCGGTAACCGGTTTCCTTTCTGTATTTTTATTTCCCTTTCCCATTGCGGTTACCGCGAGCGATGAAGCACGATTGGCTACGTACGGTGCGAAAGAAGTTCAACATACATCGAGTACTAACGGCGAAGAATAGATCTGTTGCAAAAACCCGAGTGCTGGTACTGTAAACAATAAAGTTACAACATCCCCCGTACAAGCCATTAAACAGACTGTTGGGGCAGGTGCTGTTAGCGAGCGCCTATCAAGGGCAGCACAGTAACCACGCCCGACCGCCTTTGTCTCTCCCGCACCGATAGATTTAACTCACCGCACCAAGTATCGCCTGGCACAGTACTCATTTGTGTCTGAGTCGACCTAAGAGATGCCCACGAACGGTTCAAATATTGGGAAATCGAACTCTGGTGGCCGGGTTCGTATCACAGTGCGCTAACCACCGCACCACCGCTCCCCATAAACTCGCGTTAAATTGGGCACAGAATCTCCAGCAGCGCTGTGCCGTCGCGTGTGGTATTTACTGCTACGTTTAATGATTTAGCGAGTTACTTCATATGTTGTCGATAATTATCGAGGATGTATTAAGTAAGTTTATTAAATGTGTTGTCGCCTTTTGAACCTATATACAGGGTGTTCAAAAAAAACGATGTTAACACTCACATGGGACTATCGTTTTTAATGGGAAAAGAACGGATAATACCCTCTAACGTGATAACAAATGCATGTTAATAGCTCAAAAAGTCAGAGTCTCCACTTGTTCGCCATCATTGTCAACGCGTGCCTGGAATCTTCTCTAGGTGGTCTCCAGCGCCCGGAGGCACATCTTGTGGTAATGTTGGAAATTCTCGGAAGTGTTAACATATTTCTGAAGCGCCCTGTATAAAACACAAAAATAGGCTACAAATATTCATGCCATCGCTACGTGGAGCGGAGACGAGAGAGGTGCAGGCCCGAGACAAGGCAGCGCGCACGCCACTAAGAGCCCTCTTGGAAAACAAACAGCGAATGCAACTTCACGTGAAATATCGCTGCAGTAATGCGCTAAAGTCACACGTGTACGAGGAACGGATGTCACCAACGGTGCATTAAACAAACCCGTGTTTACAGCAAGCCCTACCTTAACCTAGAAGACGAGTAATGCGCTCTCACAATCGTTTAAGGGTTTTTGTGATAAAGCAACGACAGTGAAACATCTTCACAAGTGAAAATAAGCAAATAGCATTGCCAGTAAGCGTACATATGACTCGAAACACGGAGAATGACGATGGTAATTGACGGGGTGTGATGCGAGAGACGGTGTTAATAGGGCCTTACCAAACTAATTTATAAACACTCGTGCTCACACATCTGTGCGACGATTTTGGACAAAGATAGGAGTTTAAAATCTATCTTTTTTAGAAGAATTTGTAAATTAATTCCATAAGATATAAGTGTTGAACACAAAATAATGTTTCTTAAGTTGTGAGATATTTCACGTCGCAGATGCTAACAATTAGCTCGTGGCCTGAGTAATTTTGGTTATAGTTACAATGATACAGATTTTTATTAATCCTTAAATAAAAAAAATATTTACTTGTTTTGTAAGTTTCCGAACTTGAATTACTAATATTAAACAGTGTAACTAAAAATTGTAAAAAAAAAAAAGCTTGCTTTTCAACATTCCTGCGATTTGCTGATAAACCAAAATTGGTTCTCACAGCTGCCCACGACGTGACACCTTGAGTTGATTGGCTCTGTCGGGTGGTGGAGGGTTATTGTAACAAAGAAAAATCGACATCTATACCTCAACGAACTCACCCAAAAGAGAACAAATTACGAATAGTCTTGGTTATGAAAGTACGCATAACACGCATCGATGGAAATCAACGGGTAGCAGTGAATTATGCAAACTACCTGAATGATATTCATTTAATACGTTACTCCACTTGGTTCTGAAATAAATTAAAAGTTACGGCTAAATTTGCGCAATTAGACGGCATCTGCTATAGGTGTGACCTGAGCTGTGTTGAATGGGAAACGGTGGAATCGCCACGCACTAAAGGCCTCGGTTGTTTCTGGCTACGCGAAACACATCGACACATCAGCGCAGGCACGCATTATGCAAGCGGGGTTCTCTATATGCTACGTTTATTTAACATTCAGTACATTTTAATTTTGTAATGGGGGGGGGGGGGATAGAACATAATGCTTGGTTTTATAAACCCGGACAATGCGTGCCTATTATTTTCATTTCCAATGAGCTCTGAAGGCTGTGTTCAAAATAAGCCATATAAAAATACACAAGGATAAAATTAACTAAAAGGCAGTATACTTTGCTACGATTGCAATATTATTATTATTATCAAATACTGTACATGTAATAACAATTTGGTAACAAATCATCATAGGAGAAACTCACAACACGACAATCTGATGGCAAATTTTAGGACATTTACCAATAGTACGGCATTTACAAACCGTCACGCTCTCAGAAATATTCACCAAAAAGACAATGTGATTTTTCACTGTTCACCAGTGCTTTGGCTTTCACCAGAATAAAATTGGAAATTGCAAATTTGAACAAATAAATTAAGGGTCACTACAACATTTCGGGGATTTCCACGATTAACGATGAACGATGAACGTTCAACCCTTTTGTCCGAACACCGAGAGACGCGAACGCCACGGCCGGGCGTCCCCATTCGGGCGTCGTGCCCGGCTGGACGGCGGAGCGGCTTCCACCCTCACCTGCCGGGGACTCGTGACGGTCACAATCGCGGCGCTGCCCAGAGCCGTTCCCGCTCGGCGCTCACGCGCAGCGACCATCAGACCGGCCTCTCGGTCTCTTGGCTCCACATTAAGTTCGAACGAGAATGCCTCCAGCACGTTCACACGAGGTGCCAACGTGTCCCACTGCATCGTGACAACCGGGCGACGTGGTCACGCGTCAAGACGTGCGCCGAGATGGACGCGAAAAGCCAACGGGCGCCGCCGCATTGCTTATTGTTATTGCTAGCGTGCCCGCAGCGAGATGAATTACGCCTATTAAGTCACACTCGCACCTACACCTCATCCGATGTCCCACAAAATAGGGCCCAAAGAATGGCTCACTGTGGAAATAGTGCGCATGCTTCACGCGCCCCGCAACTATTAAAGTATTCAATTGACCGCTCGCCGTGAAAAACAATCTCGGCACTGAAGGGGGTTTGTGGCACGGACCGCCCGCGCCTGTTAGCGCCACGCTGTATCGCGTGAAAATGTTTGCCCATTGCCTCGTGCGCAAACACGGGGCTGGGACGTAGCCCTTGCACAATCGGGCGCGCACAGCTTCCACTCTGTGCGGGCCGCCCTTGTGCGGAACAAGCGTGAATGGACACAAGACAGCAAAGAGCCGCGGACTCGCAGAGGAGCGCGCGGGCAATAATTTTGCATTTTCTCGTGCGAAGCTGTGGGTGTTGCGGGGACTGAAACACAAGAAGTGGTCAATAGAAATTAACGCTCCGCGAGACTGTGCTTCTGCTAAGGTAAATAGCAAAAAAACATTATTTTATTACATTTTTTATTAGCGCAGACAAACAGGCCCTTGTGTATTGTGCATTTGAAGAACAAGACTCAGCCTTATAAAACTTTTTCTTGCACTTTTCCAAAGCTCAGTGCAATGCTTTATGACAAATTTATAATCTCTGGACTGAACAGTGCTCAAATTTAAGATCAGCCAAGTCAACAAGCAGCTCTTTTTTCAGCGAAACATTATTTTTTCTTGTGCTAACAGAGGGCTCTGAATGTCCGCTGTCAGAGTCCGTGTTGATTTTGGCCCGACACCCAAGCCCAGTCCCGCCTGTGCTCATTATCATCCGAGTATGTAATAACACAAGAGCGGCGCGACACAGAGTGCCGCTCTGTTGTGTGATATAATCTGGCTGTTGTTCCCGTCAGCCCGCGCACAATCCGGCACTTGTCGGCCCGAAATGAAATACCTTAACACCCAGCCTATAGACAGGAAGTGAGCAGTCTGGCTGGACTTAGGAGCGGTTTGTTCCCTGCCCGGCCCTGCTCCGAGCCCCCATGCCTCCGTCGTGCCACACAACTCCCCATTCTCTTGCTGCTATGTTACACCGCTCGCCAGCAGCGTGCGGTGGTGGCCTCCGTCGCCCGATAAAGCGCCGAGGATGCGGTGAAGTGCGGCCTTACCTCACATAAAAAAAAAATCTGCTGTTATAAAAGTCAACTCTTTAACGGCTGTGGCGGTGTTAATATTGTGTCGCCGACGTGACTTCGCTGGCAGGGTTGCTATCGGCCCGTACAAATGGGGAGGCTCGGCTACATGGCGCTGCGCTCTCCCGTCGCCCCACGCTATCTTTAGAACAAGTTTCGAGCTCGGTTGCTGCATCAGCACTTTCTAGAGGTGCACCAGCCTGGAAGAGTCCCGTGGATCTGCCCTCCAGCGAAGGAGACCTGTGCCCACCGTTTATTTTTATTTATTTATTTCGTCGCGTACTTTAAACCTCGTAAGGGTGCCTCCGCGACGAGACTTACAAAGGCTCGAGTGCAAAGTGTTGTTTTGCTACGTTTTGTAAGTGTCGAGGTGTCGAATTATCCGATGCGAGACCATCCAGTTGCTGCGTACTTGGCAAGCTGTTTTATTACAAACTGTGGCATTGAGGCTAAAGGAATCACATGCCTCACTTCTCTTTATAAACCTTTGAGCCTGATTTAATTTAGGACACAAACTACCTCTCCAAACTCAAACCGTTAAACACGAGTGACCAAGCGACATTTATTCATCTGAGACCGACCTGTCTCGTCTTATCCAACGCTGTGTTCAACCACCTCGCTGCAGGTCACAATGCTTCCCTTTCTGCTGCCTCCACAGCACTACCCCATCCCCAATTTGGAATTCCCTACCATCCCATCCTTCCCGGGGCTCTTGCGACGGCAACATTTGCCCGATTCCATAAACGCGTGAACTCGTACGCAGTACAACTATTTAACGGTGCTGGACGTTGCTGGCCACTTGGCCTTTCGGGCCGCCTTTGGACCTGTGCCCCAGCAATCGCATTTAAACAAACGAACAAACACAAAAAAAAACAATCGCCGTTCCTCGGCTCAGCGAGCATCGCAGCGGGACAGAAGCGGAGCGAGGCGGCGCTGTGCGGCAGGTAGTCATACCCAGCCATGCGGCACACCGAGCACACCGCGCCACTCCGATGGCAGCGTGATTACGGCATTAGCCACACTCCACAGTAATTGTGGAGATTAAGAGGTTTGTCTGTGTTTAACAGCTCACACGGCCGCTAATCCCCGTTATCCCGACAAGATAAAGAGGGACATCGTCGCACTCCGGCGGGACATGGCACTGTACTAAGCCCCCCGGTGGAACAATCCCCACGACGACGACGACGACACCACCGCTGCCGCCCTGCGGGCACCTGGCGGGACGATCCGCAGCCACGCTCCGCCGCCACCTCTCGGGCACCTGGCGGCGTCCACAGCCGCACGTGGAACAGCCGCCTGCGAACGGTGCCGGGTTTCACCCCGGCGCAGCCTGGGAATCGGCATCGGTGTTTGGGCGGAGGGAATTTAATTTGTGCCGAGAACTCGTATCGGCGTTTTTTATGTTATTGCGGTTCACCGCGTGCGGTTTTGATAATAGACCCCCGGGCTGACTGGGGAATCCGTCTCGGGTTGGGTCCACGGTGGAGAATGTGGCGACCGTGAGCGCGCCGTGATACGCACGTCCGTCTCCCGTCTCAAGAGCGGCGGACGCGCGAATTTAAATGCGGCCGCGGCCCGCTGACATTTTCTACAAATGCTTCTCCACTTCGTTTTGGGTCCGTCGGCAGAGTCCTCACATTCAGCGCTTTGCCGAAGCACTGCCGAGGGATCTCTTGTTGAGTTTGTGGTACCAGTGATTGTGGTATTTCCATTTAATAATTTTAATCGGGATATTTTCTGTAAATTCAAGTGACACTCAATTTGAATGGTGACATTGAAATGCTGCAATAGTCTCACATTACATCCTTTTTTATCCTTTCTTAATGAGACATCGCCGGGGCGCAAGCTCCTCGGAACAACTCCATCCGAGCGCTTTAGCCAGTGCACCCATCCGCACTGCAGCCTCCCTGTCCAGCTAACAGTCCTCACATTGTCCCCGCAGTGCTGGCAACACGAGGTGCGTTCGCCATTCGTGAGCGGTGAGGCTCAGCATAGATTACACCCTGACAGTTCCGCAACACGGTCACTAGCAGACACTTAACAGTCAAAGTGGACAGGGGCTGGGCAGTGGGTGGGTGTGGGGGGGAGCCACGGAGAGAGAAAGGTTTACACCTCGGTGACGCAGCCATGATGGACTCCCCGCCGCTGCGTCCCGCACAGCAACGTTTACAAAGCGGAGACTGGCAGCATGCGACAACGGGGTGAGAAGCTCGTGCTAATTTCCCGTCCGTTACAACCGCCCAAACTGCGGCGCCGCTCCCCTTTTGTTGGTTCTGCTGGAGGAGGCCGACCACGCTTGCGCCTAATATCGGAGGAATTTCTATTGAGCAGGGCATGACAATGAACAACATGGCCCTCGACGCTTTAAAATATTCAATGGGTAGCCCGTGATGATAAGTGGCTACAGGGGGCATCCACACAATGCTGGGCTGACACGTTTCACGGCCTTGTGTCAAATGGGTGCCGTGCGCCCGCTGAATCGTACGTAGTGGCGGTGGATGAGAGACTCCTTTGACGTTTGTGGTAAGAATTAATGAATGAAAGCATGAATGAATGTAAGAATGAATGACCGTCGGACGAGATTGCTGAGAGGCAGACGGAGCGTGGTCACTCAAGCTGCCTCCTCAGTGTTCTCGTTTTCGACATCGGGATTTGACTGGCGGTTGCGCGCTTACGTGCCATGTCTACACCTGGACACGGAGCCGAGTTTATTTTGTGTAACCGACAGGTGAGGGAACTCAAGAGACCAGGATAGAGTCTCATTTACAAGAGCGGGTCACCCGAAACGACAAAAGCGATAATGTAAAAATAACAAAGTTCAACAATGAAGCAAATAACAATGGGCGCCAACATCAAGCGCGTTGCAATCAATCGAAAACAGTCCCACAAACATCGTGCACGCCGATGTCTCTCTGCTACGCTTCGTCGACAATTTATCGTGCTTCAGTGCCTACGAGCAGGGGAGAGTAACGCACCAGAGAGAGAGAACTGGTGGGACGGGACAGCGTGCACCCACACCTTCCCGTTCGGCACAGACAACTACTCCAACACAAACGGGGGGGGGGGGCAACAACCCACTATCAAGAGAATAAAACCGCCTTTGGCCAATAGAGCCACAGCCTACGCGCTGCACGAAGAAACTGATAGGGGTGTGGTTTTCAAGCGAGCAGATGTTGAAATCCATGCAAATTGCAAAAGGTCAGGCAATCCCTTAACACGAGAGAGAAGCAAGAGCTCAAATGTTCCGGGGGGGGGGGGGGGGGGCGAGCTGCCTGCGAGTAATCACGACGACGCAGCCCCCCCCCCGCCCCCACGGGAAGCTCCCAGGACGCCGGTAGTCACCGCCAATCACCGGCTCTTCAGCAGCGCCGAGGTTCACAGGCATGGGGCCAAGGCGGCACTTCGATTTTCCGCTTCTTGTCACGGGTCGAGCGCGAGCACCACATGAAGCAACTAGGGCAGCTTCTGTCTGCAATGGCGGTCCCCGAATCGGCAGTGGCAATTCCACATTCCTTTGTTAGGGGCTTGTTTTTATCTTCTTCTAGTTTCGATGGGACGACCGCTGTTATTTAGCCAACCTAGTGGCCACGGCGCAAAACACTCATGCCCAGAAAACTATGGAGTCGCATCAAGCTCGGAAAATTTGACAGCACATCATCCCTCCGAGGTTGATAAAGCAAGTATCACCTTGTAGGACGCGCTTCGTAGTGAACACTGTGAATATGTGCTTTGCTTTTAACAGGGCTGCCACCAGTCGAAAACCTCGGCTGAGGACTACGTTCGGGTATGCTCTGTGGAAACGCTGGGCAGCCCTATCACTATCACCAACTCATTCACTCACACGCCCACCCACTCACTTCTTGCACACCCACTCATTCACTCA